CGATCTCTATTCATCTCATTATGGCGAGCACTAGCAAAGCGTTTAAGGATGTGTGCATCAGTGTTGACGTTGTTTAACATCTGATGACACACACGATCTATGCGTTATTTGTTTGGGCGAAGAGCACGCACGCGATGCCTCCGAGGGGGCAATCGGTGTGCACTGTGAGCGTTTTTTCCAAGGGAAAAGCTCTGCTCTCGTTTGTCTCTCTTTTCGAGGAAAAAGGGGCAGCTGTCTGCTTCCCGCGATTCAAGACCCGCCGATGCTGAGGCACGGAAGGGAATGAGCTCGTGGGGATCGCAGGTGGATCTGGCCGATGAGTTTGAAGGGGGGTTTCCCTTTCGCGATCGTCGGCTGTGCACGAGAGTGAGCCTATGGAGGATGATGTTATTTCATTAACATTGTCTGATTCAGTATTTTATTTCAACTGCGGAACATACCATTTTTCAAGTTTAAGTCAACCAAAATTAATCTACTCTCCTGTCTGATTTGTGGTTGTGAAACAGCTGCGGCTCCTGGGCATGCGCACATCAATATAGTGTATTTTTTGTCATGCTGTACAACAATAATTACTGTTTTTGCATAATTATTTTAGGGCTAGGGTAGGTGTAGACGTTAATAAAGCACAATCTAATAGGTAAAAAAAATTACATTTATTACAGCTGTCTGCTTCCCGCGATTCAGGACTGACACTGCAAAAATTTCCTGGACGTCCGGGCTGGGGTTACGCTTTCATGCTACCCTGACTGGTCGCCTGAGGGGCTTCCCGATCACCAGGATGTCCCCTCTTGCTGAGGCATCGAGTGGGAGGTATAGGTGGCATTACGAGAACCTTCCCGTGTAAATGCTGTCTCGGGCAGTGCTTTGGCCCAGTACGTCCGGGTATCTGCAAACAGATGCTTGGAAAACTCTAAAATCTAAATACTATGGTAAGTGCACACGTTAAGCTTTGCGCACTTTTCTACAAATCCACATAAATGGTAAGTGTGCACGTTATGCTTTGCGCACTTTCTAAAATCCACATAGCTAGTAAGTGTGCACGTTATGCTTTGCCCACTTTCTAAAATCCTGTATGGTAAGGGTTACGCGTTATTGATCTTGTTCCCTTTCTCTGAGTTGGTTTAGACCCCGGTACCTTGGGCTCCACTCAACTAGTATGTCTCTGTCGACACACTTTGGAATCATTGCTCCCCTCACATTGAGGGTTATTGTGCGTATGGTGCTTTCTTTCAAGCGTTAATCCTCTCTGAGGAGTTGGATTCCTCGCTCCATGGGCTGTCCTCGTGGTAGTATTGAGCAGTGCTCCCCTTTATCAAAGGGTAAACCGGGAATGAGCAACGTTATTCCTCTGAATTCTGAGTTCTTCTCTCACATGAGAAGTTTGAGTTCTCTGTTTCTCCAGAGCACC